GGGGGCGGGCAATGTCTTTCATGAAGATGAGGTTGTGATAGGCTTTTGTAAAGCTTTTTTCTTTTCCACCTTTCTTCCGTGAATATAACTGGCACTCAGGAATTAAAAAGTGGATGTCGTTAGCAATACAGCGCTGCGCTTGACAAAGTGTGGTGGGTTTTGTTGTTCTGGATTTTTTTGTTTCTGGTTGAGTTAGTCCTCAGTAATAAAACATGAGGTTTTATTACACACAATGGTTGACACCCGTCCTGAAGCTGTTACGGTGCTTGGTAAGTGCTGCCAAAAAGTCTAAAAATAAAACTTCCCTCGCTTGCCTCCCCTCCCCCTCTGTCAGTGACTGCAGTTTGGGTTTTCTGTGGTCTGTTAGGGAGACAAATAAATGCTCATCTGAAATGTGGGTTATGACTTGTGTTATGATCTGGAAACGTATTAATGCACACGATAGCAATATGAAAGCACCAAAATAGTGTTCTGTATGCACTGCACTTCTTGGAAACTTTCTTTTCTTTCCACTTTCCCTTTTTTCAAGCAAAGAAAACAGACGTTTTCTCAAGGTTAAATATCTTGCCCATTACTTGTGTCTCTCTTGATAGGCATTTATTTATGTTTACACATTAAAGTCAGTGATGCTAATCACTTTACAGCAGTGTACTTAATTATTTAATAAGCTGAAATTTATTAGGTAGTTACCGTACTGGCTTTTTTGTAGGTAAGGGACAACTTTATGATTGAGGAGATTTTTTTTTTTTCTTCTTTTAATGGAATGGAAGTCCCAAACTCACCATTCAAAAGCTGATCCAATTAATATGAGAACCACAGTGTGGTACTTTGCCTGTTTGTGTGTCAAGTCAATATTTGATATATAAAGTGTTGAGAAAGCGCGCGTATAATCCGCCTGCGATAAGTGTGACTATTCTGACCTTTTTCTTCCCAAATCTTACAAGCATTTCTTTGCTTGTGTCTTGCAACAGGGCAGCCCAATGGACCCGATGGTGATGAAGAGACCCCAGTTGTACGGCATGGGCAATAACCCCCACTCTCAGGCGCAGCAGAGCAGCCCCTACCCCGGGCAGACCTATGGCCCTCCCGGCCCCCAGCGCTACCCGGTGGGGATGCAGGGCCGGGCCCCGGCAGCCATGGGAGGAATGCAGTATCCACAGCAACAGGTTGGTGCCGGATTTTTCCCCGTTGCTTTGGTTTCCCTCCTCTTCCCTCCTGACGCTGTGGTAACACAGAAGGCGCAAGAAGGAAAAATCCAGAAATGGGTATTTCTCATGCAGAAGGAGGGTGAAGGGCTGTTGGAGGAGTAAATGTATTATGTTGGCAGCGTGAATGTTTTTTGAAAGCCCATACAGTCAGGGAAAAGTTTATTTTGTTGCTGGTATCTTTTTGGAGAGAGAAATATGTTGAATGCCATCAGGTTTTTTGTGGTTTTTTTTTCAGTTGACATGATTTAGCTTTGTATATTTTTGGTTGCTGGGTTGTGTTTTTTTTTTTTTTTCTGACTTGGATACATTTAAATATAAGATGACAGCCTAGAGCTGGCATCAGTGCAGTAAGACTGGTGTTGTCCAGTGCATACAGAAGTGTTATGTATTTGTATCAACTGTGTGTTGTGGTGGTGGTTTGTTTTTTTCTTCTCTCTCTTCCTTTTGATAGGAGCCTATGGCTTTTCCTATTTTTTTTGCCCTTTACCAACCCTTAAGAGTCAGGATTTATTTTTTTTTTCCTAATATCAGAGGACATCAAAATACAAGAATCTCCTTTTATCTACTTGGATTTCACTACTGATTGCGACCTCTTTAGCCTTTTTCCTACCCTATTAGAGAAGATCAATTCCAGTGTTCACACCATATACTCAGGAAGAAGCAGTAGTTTTCTAGAGGGAGGATAAACCAAGGTTATCCAGAAGTTAATTTTTGCTAATTTTTAAAAAAATTAGGATTAGGATTGTGAGTGTATGCAATGGGAGCTCTATACTTTGTTGTGAGCACAATAAACTATTAAAAATCTTAATAATTAATAGGAAAGAAATCTGTTTTGTGCAACTGACTATTTGCAGATCAGCCTCTTTTTATGTCACTTATTGCTAAATATAGAGAAGAAAGTAACATTTTGGGCTCTCAGCCTGGTTAATTCTAGTTTATCGCCCATCCAAAGGACAAGGGTGTTCATCAGGTGGTTAATTTAATACGTTTCAAATATACTGATTGGATGAATATTACCTTTATCAACAGCTTTCTTTTTATTCTTTCCTGTTATTGAATAGATACTTACTTGCAAGGAAGAGATAGTTCAGTTTAGAACCATCAAACAATATGTTTGGTCTCTGGCTTCAGACAGCAAAGTGTTTCATCAGCTGTAAAAGGAGGAGAAACTGGGAGAAGGAGGCTTTATTTTTCTGTGTGTGTCTGTAGCCAAAGTGAAGTTATTAGAACATCTTTTTAATTTTAAAATGAGTTATTGTGCGTTATGTGGAGATGAGTGTTGAATTTTCACTTCATTTGCTAATTGCTCGGTAATTGTAAATTACCCGTCAGCAGGCAGTGACCTGGCACAGCGATTGGCTGCTGGCCCTATCCGTCTTCGCGCAGCATTAATATAATTGGCTGAGCAGCAGCACAGTTCAGAGCACTAATGCTCTTTGGGGAAAAAGTGAGAGGATAATTATGACATTGAGTTTTTATTGAACGGACATCACCACCTAGGCATGGTTTTGTTTTGGACAGCCTCCAAAGCTTCGTGTGTTTGGTTTGTGAACCTCTAATGATCTGAATCCAGTTCTTTTCATATTGCTCGTATATTACCACCTTT